TTTTCTCCCCGGTAATAAGCCCTGTCCACATGCCCTCTCCACCAGTCCCAATTATGGTTGTTTTAATTACTAAGAATTATGTAAATTCCAGCTGTGAATAAATGATTCATCAACCCAAGAGACGAGTTCTGAAGTATAAATTGTGTTTCAACACTGCTCATGCTCCTGAGCGTCTGCTTACCAGGACGCCTGTGAGCGCTGGGAGAATCCCCGGAAGGCTGGCCTGGAACCGGGCTTGGAATCTGTGGAGAAAACATTGGCCATGATTTCTACATTGTACAAACTGTAAGATAAATACAGTGTCTTGGGTGATGGAGCAGAACTCTGGGCCCAGGTGGTGTGCAGTGTGCCTGTGTGATTCATTCTGAACGAAAGAGAATGCCCCTAAGTATATAAAGTGGCTTTCATTTCTCTAAGTCTGAAGAGTCACCTTTGATGTTAAACAACAGATCTCAGATGGCAGCTCTCTTATGCAGAAATTGCTGGAACCCCTAGGCTTATGCCAAACGACCTACCACCACCCCTGCCCTCCCCTTGCTCTGAGTCTGTGCTGCTGTGCAGACCAGAAACGCAGTGCAGGCATGCTCCTTGTCACAGCCACGAGGAGGGCCCAGGTACATGCATGTCTCCACATGTAAGAGCAGCTATTACACATCCTCAGGCTGTGCCGATGCCTGTTTAGGAGCACAAGCAGTTCTCTCTCATTATATGACCATTTCTAGGCAAGATGTCCTAAAGTTAGTGAGAACATTAAAAAACCCCACTTAAGAATTATGAAAAATCTAAGATCTTTACTGTCTTCCCAGCAGATAAGCAAGACGAAAAAGGCGGTGGGGGGAGGGACGGCTACACATAATGCCACAGGCAACCCAAAGGAAGGCTACATTTTACTGTGCATTCTCTTTCTCACACTCCCGTTTACTCGGTACACACTTGCTAGGCAGTTCCTATTAGGTGCTGATTAAGGGGAAGAAGCTTCTCCAATACAGAGAAGGCTTGCTTGCTGTGAGAGATACTGTTTTAAGGTCATTACTGCTTCTACACTTATTGAGGACTGGATCCCCCAGCACCCAGGGGGCCTGGACTGGAACAGGAGTGGCCGGCCACAGTACCCTGCAAGGCATCAGCGCTCCTGCTCACTGAATCTTGTGATGCTCAGCTGGCTTAGCTTCGATGTATACTGCACATTTTAAAAGATCAGACAGGTCAATAAAGGTTGAAGACGATGTGTCCATTTCTGGAAATAAAAATTACCTTTCTTCCAGAGCCAAGTCTGTGAGCAGTCCCATGGCTGAGTTGGCCTTCTTATCTGAGAACTCAAGAAATGATACCAGGGCTTCCACTAACCTGCAAAAAACCCCAAACGACCTCAGAGTAGGCTATCCTCCAACTGACGGCATCCCCAACAAGGAGACCTTGCAAGGACCAGGAAGGAGTCAGCCTCCAGGTGGACTAAGCTGAAAGCGTGACCTTGCCGTGCCCTCCTAGGAAGCCCAGCTCCCTGTCCACCCCAATGAGACAGACAATCTCTTATGAGAACGTCTCTACCAGAGTCTTGTAATGTGAAGTCCCAGAAGTTGAACAGTTTTAGCCAAAGTTCATTGATTATCAGATGCCAACTTGGAAGGAGTCTCTGGTGCCTCTGCCATGTGATTCTGGCTCGGCCAAGTTCAATCACATAAATGACATCTTAAATGCATGCTTACTAATCTGCCAAGGACTAAAGTGGGAGGGCCCCCTCATGAGGTGGGGGATGGAATAAAGATATCACAAGATTTTGACAGGCTGCTGAATATAGCAGATGAAATTTAATATGGCTAAACTCAAAGTCCTCTACTTAGAGCTGGAAATAAGTAACAGAATTGGGAGGCTTGGTTTATAACTGGTTCATATGAAAAAGATTTAAAGGTTATTAGCCAATTGCAAACCTATTATGAGCAAATAAATAGTCTGGTGCAGTTGCCAAAAAAAGTGAATGCAACCTCAGGTTGCCCTAACGGACTGACTGGCACCAGGACAATGGAAGTGGGATGCAGTGCTGAGTTCCTGGTCTCCTATAGCGATAAGTGTGTTAGGAGGCATGTTAGAAACAGACTCACGTAAAGTGGCACAAAGTCTACCTGGTGGGAGGTGTGGGAGGGTGAAGGTGAAGCAGGCTTCAAAGAGGAGATGGCATTTCAGCTGTCGCTTGCAAGAGCAGTGTTGGCTATGTGTTCATTTGTTCATTGAATCAACACCATTCACTGGACACTATGTGCCAGGCAATGTGGTACGTTCTGGGGCCACAGTGATGAAAAAAGACAATGTCCCAGCTCCAAGGAGCTTGCAGGCCAGTGTCAAGCACATGGGGACAAGAGGAGAGCATCTCAGGTAAAGCACACAGCATTCATAAAGATGACAAGGCATAAAGTAGCAGGGGCACGCTTGGGGCCTGTTGGCAGTTCCTTATAGTTCGTGCTTAGGGTGTGAGGGGAGGACAGGGGACAATGAGGCTAGACAGCTGGACAGAGACAGCCTGGATGGTGGTGGGCCCTCTGGGGCCTGCTGGAAAGTCTGTACTTTACCCGGTAGGCCTGTCTCCCAGTGTGCTTGGTACCTGACTTGCTTGGTGGTGGTGTGTGTGGGAAGGCAGGTTCCTGAGCCCCTCTCAGTCTGAGTGGAAGGAGGCTGCAGTTTAACAAAGTTCCCAGGTGATTTGTAGGCGCTCTACTGCTCGGTAGTTGAAGAGTTAGTCTTATAGGCAGTAGTCATTTTAGCGTTTTCAGTAGAAAAATAACATAGCAGATGTGCATGTTAGATCCCTTTGGTGTTAGGGCGGAGGCCGGATTGGAGCAGGTGGTACAGGAGGCAGGGAATCCACCTGGGGGAGAACAGGGATCGTCCAAACTAAAGGTTAAGGGACTGAACCAAAGTGAGGGCAGACTAAGATGTATCGTCGAGAAGAAAGGTGCTCAGTGAGCTAGAAGGAATGACTGGAGACAGTGGAGAGGAGACAGAGGAAATGAATGCAGGAGATGCTGAGGAGGTAGGGGTGACAATACACCATCTTATAGATGTGGGGAGGGAGCCAGCCAGGGGTGCTCTCAGGATTCTAGCTTCGGCAACAGGGCAGGTAGAAATGCTACCACCTGTGAAGAAAGGAAGTTCAGGAAGAAGGCCTGGGTTGAAAAACCACTTTTGATTTATTAAGTTTATGATACTTGTGACATTGTGATGGAGATGTACAATGGTAGAATGATGTTTCCTTCTAGCATTTAAGAGAGAGAGATTTATGTGTGATAATTAAGGCCATGGATGAGAGGAGGGCCAAGGGCGGGACCGTGGGGTCCCTGACTTGGGAGGGTGACAGCATACGGGGGGCTCGCAAAGGAAACCAAGAGATAAAAGCCAGGGGGTAAGAGGAGTGCCAGGAAGGGTGATAGCAACAGGACCAAATACCGTCAGGCAGGAATGGCGGATAAAGACAGTACAGCTCCCACTGGATTGGGCTCTTACATTGAGGAACGTGAGCTCTAGCCACCCACATCTATGGTACTGGATTTACTTAGCAGCTTGTTCTAGAAGGGGTCTGGAAGTCAAACCACCTGAGGGATGGCTGAGGAACCCAGAGGCTTAACCTGGGAAAGCCCAGTGTCTTCAGACACCGCAAGCCCTGGGAAGTGGAAGAGTTGGTGCCATCAGTAGGTCTTCAACAGGCTGAACTGAAGCCTCATATAAGGAGGCAGGACTGCCCCTGACTGGAACGAGGCAGGTGGTTTGTGTTCTGTGTAAGGAAAGAATTTTGTATCGACCAGAACTGTCCTGAACGGGGTGGGCTGCCTTGGGAGGTGAGATCCACATTCTCTCATGAGCGGGGGCAAGACCCCCAGTCCATTAGCCGTTCTAGTGCCCATCCCGATCAAATGGGGACAAATATAATGAGAACACCAGAATCATCCCTGGGGGCATCATGCATATCATGTACAGACTGGGACATCCCAGAGGGGGCACTGGTGCTGGGGGAGGCTGGGCTGGGTTGTGTCTAAGGTCTCAGGTAACTTCAAGCTTCTGGAAACCCCCAATGTCCTCAGGAGTGTATTCCAGTTTTATCTGCTGTCAGAAATTGCTTATTTTACAGTTAGTTCAGTCCCTTCCTTCACCAATTCAAATCAGTTTTCTCCACTCTTGAAGAGTCATGCTAATGAGCCTGAGCAGCCCAGCAGAGGAGCTGGCAGTGTAAGATCATCTTCGCTTTTGTCCCGGGAGACATAAACAAGTAGGCTTCCTCTGCACGTAACAAAACGCACATCCTAAATGGATGAAGAAGACAGGCTGTCCCTTTCTGCTCCCTCTCATCTCCTTTCTCAGTGGCACATTTTCTGCTCTTTTGACAAGCCTCTGTTCCTGCAGGTGGACCACAAATCAGAAAGTGGTCCAGTGTAACCAATAAATGTACGTTCACATAGGTTTAGGACTCCGAGCAATAGACCCTGAAGAGAGGAAGTGAGTATAAAACTTCTTCCTAAGTCCACACTGTGTGTCAGGCGTGACAGTAGCTGATTTCTTTACTGTGGCAAACCCCAGACACCCTGCTGTCCTGCCTGATGCTGCTATAGAAGCTGGAACCATTTCCCCACTAGGGTGGCATGTGACACAATTATGACCAAAGAGAAACAAAAGCAATAGCTTCTCTTGATGAAAGGGACAGATCCGGCTGATGCTAACCTGTCTTAAAGAGGGATGTGATGCTTGGAGTTGCAGCAGCCTTGTGGGATCATGAGGGTAGGGACAAAAGAAGGACAGAAGCCTTGACCCTGACATCTTGAAGCCACCGAACCAGCTGTTGCCACCTTTAGTCTTCTTTGTTATGTGAGAAAAACAAGGCTACTTTCTTTTGGTCAAGTATTCTGTAAAATGCCACACACAAAAATTTAATTGGCGTAAATGTATCATCTCTCTTAAGCTTCATCATAAGTCTGGATACAGACGAGACACTGGGCTCATCAAGGCGAAGTGACTTTCCTGGGTCACATAAGTAGATAGAGACAAGCTGAGGGTTTGGGCTCATGACTGCTTGCATCTAAAAACCTAGAGCTTTCCACAAAGTGATACTGGCCCTCCTTGGCTCCCATCAATATACAACTAAACGTTCCTTCGACTTCTCATATTAGGGAAAAGCATTTGGGGAGGAATGTGATATGTGTGCCTCTCTGTGAGGGTCATGGGACCTGTGTGTAGCATGTGTAGCACTGTCCTGCTTCAAACTGTATCATTTCATTTCAGAGAACACATTCCATCTCTTTCTGGTTTAACTGGAGATGGACGTTGACTAGACTTGCAGGCATAAAGGTAAGTAAGCTGGCATTGCTTTGACTCTCTCAAGAGGGTAGGCATGGGATGATCATAAATGCCACTCTCTAAGACGCTGGAAAAATTCAAATTGAAGCTCAAGTAATTCAAAGATAGCTTGGGGAAGGCAGGAGTTTACGGTAACTCTAGCTACATTTACTCAAAGAGACCAAAACCAAATGAAAAAAACATATAATGAAGGTATTGAGGAAGTGACTACAGAATCGTTTGAAATGTGAAATGTGCTTTTGAGGATTTCACTCTGTGATGACCCATCTGCTGGTGTGGGCTGAGCTTCAGGGGGTTACCACAGCCTTTTCAGGGAGCCACTGGGGCAGAGAAAGGGGACAGCCATAGGCAAGGCTTAATAAGCATGTCATCCTTAGCACACACTGGACCTCCTCACCTACATAGGACAGGTGTCAGAGGTCTCAGCTTGGGCCGAGAGAGAACTGACAAGATTTCAGACTTGGCTGTTTGTCTTACTGGGAACAGACAGTGGCAGCTGGGCCCCTGGGCTTGGAAGATAGCTGGGCGAGATTCCCTCAGCTACTTGCTGCCATTTCTCCTGCCCCATCTGTGAAACGGGGTAGTAACACTTATCTTGCCTACATCCCAGGCTGAGGAGAGATAAAATGAGATAATGAAAAGAATCAGAAGCCAAATTCTATTTTTAGATTATGTATGGAGCACTTATAAAGCATGCTATAATTACTGCTATTTCTATTAGGTTGAATGAACCACATGAAATTACCAACATGCACCTTTTTTGATGTAAAAGTGGCAATTTCACATATTCAAACTAATAATCTTTATAGGCGGAGGAGCACTGAGAAGGATCACTATGGTTCAGTAATTTTCTTAATAGTCTATTTAGGAGAGAGGCACATTCTATTCCTATCGTCTTAAGCCTTGGGAAGACCTACATGTAACAGTATTTGAGATGTATTTGATTTATTTATATTCTACTGCTCCAGAAAGGGTTTAACGATATGCAAAATAAGACAGTATTATCTCAAACACAAATGAAGAAACATGAGGACAGGAACAGGGCTGAGCAAAGACTGAGGCGAAAAGGGCAGAAGCGAATGACCTGTTTTAAAGTTAGGTTCCCAATCTGGTTTTGGAAGTGCTGTCATTTACACAGCCTGCAATATCTGAGATAGAAACAAACTTGGAGAAGTGTACCTGTTCATGGTACTAGCTCAGACAGGAGTCTGTCCTGGAGGTCCTCGTGAGGGAGTGTTCCTTTCAAAGGCTTTATCTGTTATTGATCCTTAATCAAGTCAGATGGCACCTCTCATGTCAGAGAAGTGAGAAGGGAGACAGGCCAGTCCTGACTTCGCAGGAGATGATCTGAAATGCTGCAGGGACGTTCCCACCAGCAGAGCCTTACCGGGTCAGGTCGAGGTGGTTGATGATCAGGCTTCGTCCGTTCTCCGTCTGGGCGAGCTGGAGCAACAGGGCCAAGCTCTGCTGCCGGATGGTCAGGACCCCAGAGGCCAAGAGAGAGGGCAACAGCCTGCCCATGTCAGGGCGCATGACAAGCAGGCGCTGGTTTTCCTCTGCAAGATACAGGGAGTCCACCATATGCACACCATGGCAGCAGTTAACCCAGCTCTGTCTCCCACCACCTAAACGGGACACACAATTCTTCTCCACTCGTTTGAGAGGTGGGTTAATGAAGTATAAGAGCACAGACTCTGGAACCAGACCGCCGAGTCTGAATGACCGGATGAAAGACCTTAGCCGAGTTATTGAGTCCTGTGTGCCTTTCTCATCAGTGAATGAGGAAGGTGACCTGCCTAACAGAGTTGTCATGAGGCTTAAATGAGTTAATACATGATGGTGCTTAGAGCAGGGACTGGCACACATACACTAGTTATTATCATTATTCTTGTCAAAGGCTCCTTGGTATGTGTATCTGGAAACGTGAGGAAAGGGGAAAAAAAATCAGCTGAATTGTGGAGTATCTTTAGACCATCAACTTTCTGAGCAACCATTTGTGTTCTTTCTAGAAAACTAGAATATCACATAATAACACTCATTAATAAAGAATGCCCCCTTCCCAGACTATAAGCTATTTCCGGGGTGGTGGTGTTGGATTTACCCTCTCTCATCTGGTTCATTTTCTAACCAGGTACATGAATTTGTTTGAGGGCAGGCAGGGGTACAGCTGGGGCATGAGGCTAAGCCATGCAGCAAAGCAGTTTGTCTAGTTCACATATTTTTTCTTACACTGAAAAGTAGCTCATTGGAAACAATTCAAATGACACACAAGGAGAATAAAGCTAAAAATGAGAGTTCCCTTCTCTTGTACCCCCTCCAGGTAAGTTCATTCCCAAAAGGAGCTATTTATTCACCCTTCATATGAATGATGTTAAAAATATGATTGTTACATCCTACCCTGTGACTGGCTTCTCTCTCCCACTCAACAACATATCACAGACATATCTCCATGTCCTTACTTTTAAGTATTCCCTTGTCCTTTTTAAAAACTGCTGTATATTTACTGAGTTGGATACATGAAAGTTTCACAGATCTGAGACAGAGCATTTACATGACAGGCTGTGTCTGACAATGTATTTTCAGATGTTAAAGAAAAATGTGACCCCAGGGTTCACAGAAAGCAAAGTAGGATGTCAGCTTAGGATGTCGGGGTTGCATGCAAGGAAGGCTATGTCCAATTCACACCGCCACCAAGCCTGCCTCTCTTCCCCTCCTGTATGGGGACCTGTAGAATCACCACTCCAGGCAGGTAACATCCTATAGTGATATTATCCTGACATGATTCCCTTCAGGAAAGAGGCCCCCTGATTCTCTAGTTTTCTAGAACTTAAGATGATTCCTCCAATCTACTAAATCAAGAAAAAAATTACATTATCTCAGAGTTAACATTTTCCAGTTTACAAACTGTATTCACAAACTCTATCGCTGGCTCCCCACAGAAGCCCTGTGAAAAGCAGACACAGCTATCATTACGCTCATTTTCAGTGCTTTGTGACCGAGGCCAGACCTTTTCCTATGAAAACACAATTTTTTAAAATAAGGAAAATTATTAAAGTTTGGATTCACACTGAGGTTACAAAAGTGATAAAAAAGATTGTACAAAAACTTAGTGGAGCCCAGAAGATGCTAATATGTAAAAAGCTGAGAGTTAACAAGGTAACTAAAATCCCCACAGCTTTTTGCTGTCTCAATATTACACACTAATCAGTATCACAAGACGCTGGCAGGGACTATCATAAGCCTCACGATGCTGAAATGCATATGGTGGTCAGGAAAACAAAACAAAACAAAACAAAAAAACCGCGTAATATATTTAGGCAGACAGGAAAGGAAAAACTCTGCCATCCTACTGTCAATGCATGAACAGAAGTCATGAGTCTGCAGAGAGCAGGGTGTGTGTCCAGGTGATGAGACCACTCATGTTGACAATGACCTTGGCCACAGCGAAGGAGGCTGTAAGGTTGCAGGAGACATAACTGCAGCATAGGCTTGCTTCTGATCCATACGCTTTTTTGGGGGGAGGTCTAGATATCCACTCTCCAGGGCCTAGCCTCTGGGAGAACAATCACAATCATGTCTGCCCACAGAGCTCCAGAATTAACAGGCATTAACAACAATTAAGGATGATGAGCCAGGCTTACCGTTCCCGCTGCACACTGCTTGCCAGAGCCTGAGAACACACACACACACGGTCTCCTCCATTGTACCTTTTTCTGCTGTGGAAAAGCATCTAGAATGGACAAGGGAGAATAATATTAAAACTGGAAATCGGTCATGATCATCTTTTAAGTTTGTTTGTTTTTCACCTACAGACTCCTTAAATGCAGGGTTAAGAAAGTAATTTTATAGTCCAGAGCTACAGGTCACCAGGCCCAGTGGACTACTAAGCCGTGAACTGAGAGCTCCAGGACAAGGATGCAGGCTGAGGAAGTCAGCGCTGCACAGAGGGCGGGTGGTGAGCCAGGGGCCAAGGGGGACTCATGAACGGTGGGCCAGTAGATCACTTAGGGTTCAAGGGTCTCCTCATACATGCAAACATGTGCTGGTGACTCCAACCCACAGCAGTGTCCCAAGTCTCGGGAATTATACCAGAACAACGGAAATACAAAATAATATAATAAATTTACCACGTCATCTCCTACCATATGGGTCTTACTTCAGGTGAAATTATAAATGCGATCAGCCAGGACCCAGCTGATCTCATTTTTTGATATCAGCAAATCCCAAAAGAGGGAAAGAACAAATGGCAACTTTGCAACTGATGGGAAATCGTAAGAACGGTCCTTTCTCTGACTTGAAGTGCTTGGAGAAACCCTGGCAGTTTTGTTGACCTTTTCACTCTCTGCAGTTGTTAACTGTGGCATGATTCAAACTATCTGAGGCTCAAAGTTCAAGGGGAATTCATATAGCAGCTCTGCACTCTTCAAGGAGACACCAATATTGACTGAAGGTGGTATCATCCAGTGAAGTCTCTGCCTGTGTGATCAGTGTCTGATTTCATGAGAAATGGTTGTCCTTCCTTGCTTTGCTGCTGGCTGTCTGTAAAAACATTCCTACCTTCTTATGACCTCATTCCCACCGATGATACTGAATCCATCGTGTGTTCTGAATAAAGTTCGTTCTGTGCCTGAAACAATTCAGAGAAAAACACATCAGACTCCTGAACTCTGGCTGATGTCTAGCTGTAACAGAGCCAGCTGATAATGAGAAGCCTAATATGGAATGTCAAAGTTACCAAATTACAGCTTGGTCAAAAACAAATACCTTTACATTCTGAAAACCATGGCTGTCATCAGCCACTCGGTGCCCCAGTGACAGGGACATCCTGTTCAGAGAAGGAGAGAGCTAAGCCCGGAGGCCCCACAGGTGATCTGACAACTCATCATTTTGTAATCTTTAGGGAATCTGCAGGAGCTGCTTAGCCTGTGGGAAGAACTACCATATCCATCTGTTCTTAAATATTTATTTTGAAGTTGTTTCCAGGCTCTAGAGAGGAGTCTATAACTTCCAAGAAACTACTGATGGGATTATTTGAGCACCCTCAATTGTATACTAAAGGGATGTAAGAAACTCCATCTATTTGTACAAACAATATCCTGTCACTGAGTCACAAAAATGGTTTAAGCCTCGGCATCAGTGTTTATAAGAACTGATAAAAGAGAAGAGTATGGCTTTCATTAGCAGGAGGAGCTGATGTTTGCTCTGAAACCACACATCCTAAGTGTAACTGGGGTGAAACCTTACAGTTTATCCTACAAAATTCCATCTTCCATTTCCCTATGGTTGGGGGAAGATTTGTGGGGTGGTGCAGGGTGTTTGGGGGTATTATATATGGGGTATGTGTGGGGAATGCAAAGGGTGTGTGGGTATGTGCAGGATGTGTGGAGCACATGCAAAAGATGAATATGTGTTCTGTGTGTTATGTGATGTAAGTACATACAGTGTGATGTGGGTCGTGTGTGTGTGTATATGTGGTATATGTGATATAAGTAGATATGTGAGTATATGCTGTGTGTGTATGTATGTGTATGTGATGTAAGTATACATGGAATGAGTGAGTGGTGTGTGTTGTTTGTGGTGTATTGTGCGTGTGTGGTGTTTACTGCATGTGTGTTGCATGCTGAGGAGAGGATGGAGCTGGCTGGGGATATATTTCTTATGCATCCCCTTTACCACCTACATTATAATTGGTCTTCAGTTAATATTTGTGGAAGGAAGAGATCCGTTGCCTCCTAGGGGCAGACCTCTAAACTCTTCCCTTTACAGTGACAATATTCATGAGATCGCACATGTCTCTAGCTTACAGTCCTTCATCATTTCAGTCAGGATTTCAATGCCCCCTGCATAGAACAACAGGTTATGGTCAGGCTTGGCAAGAGTCTCCAGGAGATTCTTGGTGGTCACAGCTGTGTCTTTTCCTGAGTCCAGCAATACATGGGCTTCCTTCTCTTGAAGGTCTGCTTTCTCCCGAAGATCTACTTGATCCAGGTAATCTAGCAAACCAGGAAGGAAAACAAAACAAAAGAAAACCCTAATATCAACAGTACCATACCAAGAGTAACCTTTTTTGAGGATGGGACGTTGAGAGGTATAACACACTAAAATACTTGAAACTCGTCTTCAGCAAGGAAAATTTTAGGAATAGTGTACACTCTACACCCAGAGCTTTAAACTGTCTTGCGGATGCAAGGAAAACATTATTCCCTATCTAGAAAGCTCTAAAGGAGGATGGTGTATGTAGAAAGGAGGAATGCAAAGATCTGAGCTGGAGAACAAAAGAGAGTAGCAGGGCAGCCTATTATCATAGAGGATTTGATTATGTAGAAAAGGCAAGACTGTGGCTCCGTGGCCAAGTGCAGAGAAGGTACGGAAGGCAGCCTGAGGCCAGAGCACGAAGGGAAGAAAAGTGGAATTCAAGTGAACGGCATCAGCAGGAACATTCTCACCTTTCACCTGTTTCTGCAGCTGGGGGTTTATTTCTAAGATCTTCTGAAAACACTCTCTAGACTGGAAGAAGAAAAGAAAAAACAAGACCATGATTAGTAGTTAGGGGATAAAGGTGATTATAAGAAAGACACTGGGTATCACAAGGCTTGGCTTCTTTATTATTTCCTCCTGTTCCCAGCCTAGGAGGTAGGCATGGGAACATGGCATGCATTTGACATTTTGTTTAGGCTTCTCTGGTTCTGTGGGGCAACAGATATTATTTCAAAATTTGTTTTAAGAAATAGTCTGTCAGGCATAGCCTGTGATGGAAAATAGTCCTACATTCTTGTGGATCATGTCTGGCTGGGTTAGGAATAATCATAAGGTAAATGCAAAATTTAGATATTTGCACTGAGAGAGAACAGGAGGCTACCTGTCAGATATGCCCATAGGGAGTAAGGAAATAAATAAAGCTAGAAACATTACTGACAGAGACTTGGGGACAGGAAGCAAGAACTGCCTGCTTAAACACACAAGGCTTCAAGGAGAGCCGCTAAGGGGCCCATTCACTGGCCATAGAAGAGTCAGCAAGAAAACTTGAGTGTGAGGGGCTTTCATCGGGAAATCGTTACATAGAAAGTTCCTAGAAAAAGAAAGATTCTAGTTCATGGGGTATGATGCTGGGTTTAGGGCAATACCGTCCTCAGGGATATCAAGAGCTGCCCAGAGTATAATACAACCAGGTACCAAGAAAAAAAACTCAGAAAGATAGTTCTGAGATATTTTGAAGGCTCAAGGCTTGTCTAGAAGAAATAAACCGAAGAAAACCACCACATTAACACAGAGAATAGTGTTGTAGGATAGAAGTATATACATCAAACATGGTAACTGCTATAGACTAAGTGTCTGTATCTCTTCAAAATTCATATGTTGAAACCTACTCCCCAATGTGATGGTATCAGGATGTGGAGACTTCGGGAGGTGATTAGGTCATGCAGGTGGAGCCCTCATGAATGAGATCAGTGCCCTTATTAAAGAGACCCTAGAGAGCTCTCTCACCCTCTGGCTGTTTATGAACTAAGAAGCAAGCCCTTACCAGACACCAAATCTGCGGTGTCTCGATCTTGGACTTCACAGAATCCAAAACTATGAGAAACAAATGTTTATTGTTCAAGCCACCCACTCTGCTCTTTTGTTATGGCAGTCCAAAAGGACTAAGACAGTGACCCTGTATCCAACTTCTTTTTAACCCTAGATCTAATCTATCAGCAATTCCTACTGGCTTCACTGTCAGTATATATCTAGAATCCCATCGCATTTCATCACCTCCATCATCACCAACCCGGTCCAAATCATCATTACCTCACTTGGCTAAATTGTTGCAATAGCCTTCTAACTGGTTCCCTGTTCTTAACATGCCAAAATATATTTTCCATACAGGAGAGTGATCCTTTAAAACATGAGTCATATCGTTTCACTCTTTTACTTGAAACTTTCCAATGGTTCACTGAAAGTAAAAGCCAAGGTCTTCCAAAGCCTGTAAAGCCCTAGGGGATCAGTCCCCCCCACACTCCATCACCTGCCTGGCTTCATCTCCTATCACTCTCCTCCGTGCTTGCTCCATTCTAGCTATCCCTCCACCTGAACCACTCTTCCATTATATATCCACATGTGTTACTCACTTCACTTCCTCCCTTCCTTTAGAGAGGCCCTCCTTGACCACTCCACATAAAACCAATCTCACCTTCACTGCTTCCTGATTTAGTTTCTCAATAACACCTATCACTACCCAACATACTACACATCTACTTATTTGTTTTTTGTCTCCCGGCCACCCCATCCCCAAAATGAGGTCAATTAGGTCAAGGATTTTGTTTTGTTCACTACTGTATTCCTGTTGCCTTCGAGAGGGCCTGGAATATAGAAAGCATGTAATACACATTTGCTGAGTGAATTAACTGAATGAATGCGTGAGTGAACTGAATTTGGTACAGAGGGGGCGATTAACATTTTCTTTTTTAAAAAGTTCTCTATTATTGACCTTATTACAATAAGCCTGTATTACTTTTAGAATTAAAATCCAACAAAGAAAATAATTTTTTTAAATGTACAATAGGAGGCAATTTCTTTTTTAAAGTATATCTTGTAAATGTAAAGACATCCCCTGTTCATGGATTGGAAGAATTAATGCTGTTAAGATGCTAATACTCCCCAAACTGATCTACAGAGTCAATACAATCTACATCAAAATTCCATCTGGCGTCTTTGTAGAAACTGACAAGCTGATCCTGAAATTCGTCGGTAATCAAGAGAACCAGAATAGTTAAAACAATCCTGAAAAGGCAGAGCCAAGTTAGAAGACTCACACTTCCCAATATCAAAATTTACTACAAAGCTACAGGAATCAAGACAGTGTGGTATAGGCCTAAGAATAAATACATAGATTAACTGAGAGTCTATAAATAAACCCGTGCGTTTATGATCAGTTGATTTTTATGACAAGGGTGCCAAAACCACTCGATGGGTCTTCTCAACAAATGGTGCTGGGATGACTGGATATCCACATGCAAAAGAATGAAGCAGGATCCCTTCCTCTCATCATATAAAAAATTAACTCAAAGTGGATCAGAGATATAAATGTAAGAGCTACAGCCATAAATCTCTAAGAAGAAAATTTAGGAGTAAATCTTAGATGAGGCAATGGTTTCTGAGCTATGACACCAAAAGCATAAGCAAAAAGAAATATAAGTAATTTAGACTTCATCAAAATTTAAAAAAAAATTGTGCTACAAAGGACACCATCAGGAGAGTGAAAAGAAAACACAAGGATTAGTAGAAATATTTCCAAATCATTTATCCGATAAGGGACTTATATCCAAAATACAACTACGGCAAAGGATCTGAAGAGACATTTCTCCAAAGAAGATATGCAAATGGCCAATAAGCACATGAAAAAATGCTCAACATCATTAGTCATCAGGGAAATGCAAATAAAAACAATAATGATATACCACTTCATAGTCACTAGTAGGATGGCTATAATAAAAAAGACCGATAATAACAAGTATTGTCCAGGATGTGGAGAAATTGGAACCATATATGGCTAATGGGAATGTAAAATGGTACAACCACTCCGGAAGACACTCTGGCAGTTCCACCAAAGGTTACACATAGAGTTACCAAATGATTCAGCAGTTCCACTCCTAGGCATATACTCAAGAGGATTATAAACATATGTCCACACAAAAATTTGTACATGGATGTTCATAATAGCCAAAAGTGGAAACAACCCCAATGGTTACCAACTGATGAAGAAACAAATACAATGTGGTCTATCCATACAGTGGAATATTATTCAGCAATAAAAGGAATGAAGTACTGATACATATTACAACATGGAGGAACCTTGCAAACATGCTCAGTGAAAGAGGCTAGTGACAAAATACCCACATCGTATAATTCTATTTATATGAAAAGTCTAGAATAGGTAAATGTATAGAGACAGAAATAGATTCGTGGTTGTCTCGGGCTGAGGTGGGGAGGAGGAATGGGGAGTGACATCTAATGGGTACAAGGCTTTCGGGGAAGTGTCAAGAATATTCTAAAATTGAATGTGGTGATGGTTGCACAATGTTGTGAATATTCTAAAAAACCACTGAATTGTGTATTTTCCATAGATGAATTGTTTGGTATGTGAATTATAACTCAATAAAGCTGCTATTAACAATATATAATATCTTGGTGTGTGTATATATATCTGCATGATTACTTTTGGGTAATGAGATTACAAGTGAATTTTGTTTTTGTTTCTTTGCTTTGTCTTTTTTCTCCAGAGAGGCCTCTCCCGGGGCTGAATGAACACTGGTAGATAACATTGCAGAAGGGTTCCTACAGCAGGTGGGGCTGTACTACATGACATTCAACATCCTTCCCAACTCTAAGATCTTAAGATTTACTCTGGAAAGCACTAAAAGGTGGACTAACATCTAATCAACTTGGAGGAAGATGGTTCTTCTCTGAGACAATCTGAAGTGCCACTCTGATCAAACATGTCACTTACATTCACTTAAGAACTTACCACACTGTAGTTCTTTAGGGCCAGGTGAGCTTTTCCCATGTGGAAATATGCTTTTGTGCATTTTTCATCACACTGCATAAAAAAGAATGAGTATTCAGATGGTTCAGAAGATTTGAAGTCACCAGCTTCAAATCTAGAGTTAAGGTAGGGCTTTGTTCTCAGGACAGATCCCAGAGTTGACAACAAAAACTTTTCCGCGCATCTGTAATTGATGCCTGCAAGGAGCCTGGATACTCAAGCTCTGTATCCAATTAATTAATGATACTTGTCAGTTTTCATTTCCATTTAATGATACTCAATCAGGAAACAAACCAGAAACCCTTAGTTTAGAAAAGCTCTTGACCTTGACAGAACACTGGAATTACCTGGGATGCTTATAATAATCCTGATAGCCAGGCTGAATCTCACATCAATTAAATTACACATTGGGGTAGGGCCCAGGCATCAATATATTTAAAAACTCTCCATGTGCAGCCAAGTTTGAGAACCGCTGGTTTATTAGAAGAGAAGAAAATGTACTCTGAGGTTACTATTACATCTCAGTAGGCCCGGGAAGCTCCTCCCCTGAAATAAACCACAACATCTCTACTGGGAGTTTATATACTTATCATTTAAGGTCAGCAGGAATTCCCCCTACAAAAGGCAGGATTGAAACTTAAGGCTGAGGCTATACCATGTGCACAGGGGGCCCTGCACGTACCTGCCCTTAATTACTATAACTCCAGAGGGAATTATTTGGCACAAAGACATAAACTATAATTTAAAACATCCAGTTAAGTAATTGAACTCCTTTAACATACAAGGCATTGTGCTGGGCCAGGTGCTCAGGAGTCTAAAAAGTTCTGGGTGAACCCCTGGTCTGCCTCTCACCAGAAGGGGGACGTTGGCCAGACCACCTCACTTTTCTGATGCTCATTTTCCTCATCTGGAACGTGAAGGCAATAATAGTGTCTTTCTCTCTCTCTCTCAGGTTGTTGTGAGGAGGAAATGCTTGTAAGACGCTAGTGCAACACCAGGTAGTATAGTATCAGCAGCTGTTATGCAGTTAGAATTGCAATCCATTGTAGGGCAAGAGAGACAATTTAAATTAAAATTAATTTAAATTGAAAGTTAAATAACAATACAAGAGGTAAGAATAATTGTTATTGGAGAGCCCTTTATAGATGCATTTCCATAAAATCATTTCATGATTTGTTGCTAAGTGAGTGGCAGTAGTAATAGTAACAATACTGCATTAGTGTTCAGTCCGTTCCATATGGTTCATATGAATTATCTCATGTAAACCTTATAACAACTCTATGAAGTAGTTACCATCCCAACTTTACAGATGAGGAAACTAAGGGTTGGAGAGGTCATATAATACTAAGTGGAAGAGCTGGGATTTAAAATTTGGCCATTTGACCCTAGGACCCAAAGGCTTAAAAATTATACCAGCTCTCCTTCAAAAAAGTGCTCTAGCAGTTCAGTAGCAGAAAATGCACCCTGAGAAATATAGTCTAACAAAAGGCATGCAAAGGAGGAGGGATCAGAGGTGGGTCTTGAATGATATGGAGAGGTGAAGAGAGAAGGATGAAGGGAGAATGCGCTGAGCAAGGTTCAGAGCCCGGAGAGTACAAGGGGCATCAGTGGATGTCCAGCCCAAGGGGCTGGTGCTGGGCAGAGGGAATATCAGGCTGGATGGGGTGAGCGAGACGGTGACTCCACATGGATGCCTTGAATACCTAGCTAGAGGGTGAGTGATCAATGGCCGTGTGTAGGCAAGGTGGTCTGGAGGCAGCGTGCAGAACTGATGAGAGGAGGGAAAGGCATGGAGATAAGTGAGAAGACCGGAACAATCATGAATGTCTGACGTCCTGGTGATGCTGGGAGTAAAAGGAAAGTGCAGATACCAAAGCTTTATCAAAGAAAGAATTGATCAGCATCAAATAACCATAAATGATAAGGAGGATGTCAAGTCAACAGTTTTGGGTTCAGGTGCCTGGAAGACATCATGTGCCATTAGCAGAAAGAGGTACGTCAGGGCAGGTAGTAGGGAAGGTTGAGTGGGAAGAGGAAGAATTTATTTTTGGGCACATGAATGTCTGATAGTTAAGTTCACAAACTTGCTGCAATGATGTTGCTAACCTTTTTTGATATCAGAGGGATTATTCATTATGAATTTGTACCAACTGGTCAAACAGTGAACCAAGTTTACTATTTGGAAGTGCTGAACAGGCTGCGTGAAAAAGTTAGACGAACTTAACTTTTCGCCAACAATTCATGGCTCTTGCATCACAACAGTGCACCAGCTCACACGGCACTGTCTGTGAGGGAGTTTTTAGCCAGGAAACAAATAACTATTGGAACACTCTCCCTACTCACCTGATCTGGCCCCCGATGACTTCTTTCTTTACCCAAAGATAAAGGAAATATTGAAAGGAAGACATTTTGATGACATTCGGGACATCAAGGATAATACGACGACAGCTCTGATGGCCATTCCAGAAAAAGAGTTCCAAAATGGCTTTGAAGGGTTGACTATGCACTGCCGTCGGTGCATAGCTTCCCAAGGGGAGTACTTTGAAGGTGACCGTAGTGATATTCAGCAGTGAGGTATGTAGCACTTTTGAGTTTGCAAACTTAATTGTCAGACCCCTTACTGTGTTTCCGATGATGCTCAAACAAGCAGATGGAAACCTGCAGGATGCAGCTGAAATGCAGCCTGGGAGCCCTGGGGGAGGTGGAGACTGGGGAAGCAGTTCTGAGAGCCATTTGCAGAGATGAGAGTTGAACCCATAAAACGAAATGAGAGCCTTGAGAGGGAGAAACTGCAGAGAGAAGAAAGGCAGGGAGCCAGACTGAGCCCCGGAGAATTCACAAAGGGTGGAATTAAGGAAGCAGGAAAGGAATGGTCAAGGGGAAAGAGGAAACTCCAGCGCTGCGGCTCACGAAAGCCAAATGTTCACAGGGCCTTCACTGGCAGAGCATCAGGGGTACAACGGGGGAAACAAGCCAGAGCCTCAGAGCCTTGTCCATGCCTACTGTGTGTCACCATGAAGGGGTATAGTGTGACTCCGCCTTCCTAAGACACTGAGGCAAAGGGCTTCTAATGGATTTTCTCCCTTTTCTTCTTTGATCATGCGTCAATCCTCATTAGGATTATCTCGGGTGGACCCCCAGACCCCCTTAAAGGAATCCTGCCTTCAGAGGAAGATATATCGCATGGTGCAGGAAACTGATTTTCTCATGCTGCTGAGAAAGACATGATTCTGACCCTAATCGAAACCAGCTTCTCTGACTTACCTTCCCCGACATGGAACATCCGTCTTGAAATATCATCACATGGGCCTGTCTCTACCAATTCAGACATTTCAAAAAATATTAAATTGGCATGAAAGTGCTACTGCTATTAATAGTGGAGTACCACTGACATTCACCACTGATGTACTACTTTTAAAGAGAGTGAAACTTTTTCTTTTAATTCACAGCTTTGACATAGAGCCAACCATTGTTAGTTTTCCGAACTCCTTATACATTTTGTTCCATTCTTCCAAGTGTTTACACAAACCTCTTCAACTGGGAGCCTCACTGGGCATTTAACAAGACTGGCTGCTGAGTGTCAGCATTTCTTAATGTCAGCTCTGTTGGGCCTGCTTTGCCTGGGTTGCACTGTTAATTACACTGTGCTTTCATTAACATTTGGGAACAGAGCAGTGTGTTATCCTGAATCAGCATGATGGTGTGCCTACCTCTTCAGATCAGAAAAGATCCTTTTTCAGATCAGAAAAGATCCTCCCAGAAGCCCCACGAGGAGAGACCCCCAGCCAGGGATTGTGGGTTTCCAGTTTCAGTGGAGAGGTTGTTTTAGTAGATGGTTCAGAGCTCCAGCTCACAGTTAGAACAACATTAGCTGTGTGATCCTGCACAGGTTACTTAATTCAGCTCCGAGGCCAGGTTTCCAGGTCAGAAAAAAAGGAGAACAGTGGTATTAAACATAATAGAATAGAATGTTTTGCGGCTGAAATGACACAGCTCACGGCCAGTAAGCAGCAAAGGGTGGCTTTTGCTGTTATTGTTAGAAACACTGAGGGAACCGTCCTTGCCTCTGTCTTCTGAATGATGGTAGAAAAAGAAATCATAATCAGATAAGGTGACTAAGCAGGTTAGTGGATCTGCGCTGGCACTGTGATGTCATCAGCTTTGGGCAGTTCCTATAACTTAAAAGACTATAATGATGCAATGCAACAAGATCTGCCACCACATCTTCAAAGGGATTAACAAAATCAAGCACTCCAGATGGCAGTTTTGGAGGGTCCCTAGTGTTTTGTAAACCATTATCAGTAAAGGTAAATTTCTTTCTAATTCACCTGTTCCCCTGGCTGAACCTCTCAATAAAAATCAAGGAAGCAGGTGCAGCCCATGTGCTGCTGTCAAATGTGCTCTTGTTTGGGGCCATGTGCTCATTCAGCTGGTGTGTGTGTGTGTGTGTGTGTGTGTGTGTGTGTGTGTGTGCGCGCGCGCGCGCGCACTGTACTATCACAAATCGGGTCACAAGATAAGCCTGGCACTTCAATTTTACTTGATTGTAAGTTATTTAAAATAATATGGATAGATTAAGACAAACATACATTTTATGGAACACAATGCAAAATTCACAAGAATTTTTAAGATAAAGTACATGGCTACAAAGAAATTTCACGCACTCTGCTTCTAGACCCTCCGGGGGCTCATGTTTGTTCCATTAGCAGCACTTCAGCGAGAAGTCTGGGAATCACTGGCTTGGGTTATTTAGTTAAAGCCCCCATATGACAGAGTAATTTAGGGGAATGTGGATTAAGGGATATTTAAATATTTAGTCATCTGAAATAATGTTCCTAAGAAGTGATCATGATATTTCTCTTTTAAAAACTCTAATATTTCACCAACAGTCCTTATTTCTCCCCACTTTTAATTATCTATTTTACTAGATTTCGGTGGAAATACCATGCACGGCATTATGCTCTCTGCCTGAGGCCTGACTAGTATCCAGGCTAAACAATAGGAACTCTTTCCGCTGATGAATCCTCTACAAACAGGGGATGTTATCATACTTCCAAATTGTTAGAGCTGCAGGGGAAAAGCACAGGCTGAAGAAGAAGAATGACATTGTTGAAACGAGCTCCCATGGTTGGTTCTCGAAAGAGGAGGCATTACCACTACCATATGAAGCAAAGCGTCTGTAACACAATAGCAAAGAATGAGCTGTTGCAATATAAACCCTGAAAAACCAGTATTAACAGCAGCTACTCTGGAGTACTTACCGAGAGCGAAGTATTTTATGTATATTATTATATCATAGCCCTCCAGACAATTCTGTTCTATCCGTTTTATAGATGAGGAAACAGGCTCTGATTGCACAGCCAATACCCTTCCCACCACGATACACTGGCAGTTCTCCTCTATTCACTTCAGGACTGAGACACGTGGCCCAAGCAAGCCCAGCTCCATTGCGTGGAAAAGGAAATATCTTCTTACCTTCAGAGCCCAGTCACAATCCACTAGTGCCTTCTGGTAGTCCCCAAGTTTTATATAAGCCTGTAAAGACATAAATAGCTGATATTCACACACAGCTCTGTAGCAAGCAGGCTTTAGTTAACATACAGAGAGCAGTCGAACAGTAGAATGGTGATGAGAAGTAACTGGTACCAGTCAGGGTCCCAGCAGGAAACAGATGGCACACTCATGCTCAGACGATAACCGAGGACAGTTTAATAAAGGGACTGCTGACAAGATGAGGGCAGGGCTTAGAGAAACCAATAGAAATGTTACAGAACCAACAGTGGACAGCCGGCACCACTGCTAGAACCGCTGGGGCAGAAGGAGGAGCAGTGATCAAACCAGAGAGGACGATGGCTTTGTGAGAAGTGCTGCCTAATGAGAGCGGAGGCCTTTATAGAGCTCAAGCTGTGAGAATAAACAGCCCAGTGTCACCATCCTCTTTCCTTCTGACCTCATTGGCTGAACCCAAATGGCAGCGAGAAAGCAGGGAAGTGAAGGGGCCAGTCCACAGAGGTCGGTCCTAAGGGCACAGAGCAGGGCAGAGAAGGACCTGAAGGAGCAAAAGAAAATACCCGGCATGCTAAACACATCTACAAAGGAGAGCTAGCTTCTAGAATCCATTCCCCCCAAGAATATTCTAGAAGAAAACCAAATGATAGAGGGAATAAAAAAGATAAGCATTGGCAAGAATGCAGAAAAATCAGAACCCTCCTACACAGCTGGTGGGACTATAAAATTATACAGCCACTTTGGAAGACAGTCTGGAGGTTCCTCAAAAGATTAAACATCGAGTTACCATAATGATCCAGCAATGCCACTCCTGGGTATATATACCCAAGAGGACTGTAAACATGTTCACAAAAAAACCTGTACACAAATGTTCATAGCAGCATTATTCATAATAGCCAAAAAGTAGAAACAATTCAAATGTCCATCAACTGACGAATGGATAAATAAAATGTGGTCTACACATGCAATGGTATATTATTCAGCAACAAAAAGTAGTGATGCATATTACAACACGGATGAACCTTGAAAACATTACGTTAAATAAAAGAACCAGACACAAAATGATTTCATTTATGTGAAATGTGCAGAATAGGCAGACATATAGAGACAGAAGGTACAGCAAGTCCCAGAACAACACAGTTTTGCTCAACGTCATTTCGTTATTACGTTGATGAGATGCCATAGAAACTTAACTTGTTTATATCAATTAGCTGATGGTAAAACTGATTTCATTATACATCATTTTGCTTAAAGTTGCAGAAACTGGACTTACTATAGATTAGAGGTTGCCTAGGGCTGGAAGTGGAGGAGGATGGGATTTTGGGGGTGAACTGCTTAAAGAGTTTCTTTCTGGGATGATAAAAATGTTTTAAAATCAGTTGTGATGGATGCACAACTCTGTGAATATACTAAAACCAACTGAATTACGCACTTTAAATGGGTGAATTGTATGTCAATTATATCTCAATAAAGCTATTACCAAAAAGGATAAAGTTCTGCTTCTTTCCACATGAGCACAGCAAGAAGGAAAAGATATAGGAAATGGGCTGACATTTAAGAATCAGACCATCACCATGAGCTCTCGGGGCCAAATGCCTTGGGACACCTTTTGGGATCCCCTAGAATTGGCGAAAATCTGAAAAATTAAGAATTGACTCAGAATTCGGCAATCCACTCAAGCTAAACCAAATTTAGTTCATTTATAATGTCAAAGAACTAGTGGCATATAAACATATGAAAGGCTATTTACTTACCAGCAAGCACAATGACTATTGTTCCTTCTGTATTAATTACTGGACACAATAGATAGTCAATAAGTTTTTATCAAGTTGCACTAAGTAGACTTTAAGCACTCTTCTTTTGGAAAGTTCCCTAAAAAGCAGCAATGATCACCCCATTGTACGAAAGGAAAACCAGGCACCAGGAGGATAAGTGGCTTTTGCAGAGTCCCATCAGTCACCAATAGTAGAGCCAATACTCCAGGTAGGTTTACCCATGATCAAAACTGTACCAGGACACTGTGACATTCTTGACAATAAATCTGATGAGATATTTACATGGGTAAGTCAAGTATGAGGTCAGTCTAATAACTCATGGGGAATTTGTTCAATCAAAGTGAGGAGGGTGCAGGCAATAGCCAGCTATTGAATTTCTGCAGTGCAGCTCTTTGCATCAATAGGGAGGAAGCTGCTATGTAGTGCTTTCATTAACTCAAGTTCTGTACCAATTGAAGCTGACGACTCTGAGCTGGCTGTTCCATTGGGCTGTCAGAAAAGTCATGATGTATATTGTCTATGTTTTTCAAAGGTCATTTATTTATATAAAGAACAAAGATCAATTAATGATATATTGCCTCTTTTGTTCGATAACATTTTGCCATCTTTCAGTGAGCTTCATAATTCCTTGTTCAGAGAAGGACCTGTCTTCATTTGTGAAAAACTGAACAAGGTTTTTACAAGATTTACAGCCTCATCTGAATTGAACATTATACCACGCAAGGTGTTTTGAAGAGAGCGAAACAAGTGGAAGTCTGACGGCACAAGGTCAGGCGAGTATGGTGGGTGTGGCAACACATCCCATCCAA